AGAAAGGAAATTCATAAGCTGTTAAAGGGCATTAATGAAAAACCTAAAGTTGACATCATGCTTAATGGTGAAAGGCTTCATGTTTTTTCCCTTGTGATCAGAATCAAGTCAGGGTATACAATCTCTTTTTTTAATTCCACATTTTACTGGTGGGTCTAGCCAGCGCAATAAGGCAAAAAGGAAATAAAAAGCAAAGCAACCAGATTAGAAAACAAGATGTAAAACTGTTTATTTGCAGACATGACTGTCTATGTAGACAATCCAATGAAATCCACCAAAAAATGCTATTACAACTAATAAATGTGTTTATTGTGGTTACAGGATACAAGATCAATGAGTCCATTTTATTTCTATATTGTCTTAGCTCATTTGACTACTATAACAAAATACCTTAGACTAGGTAATTTAAAAATAACAGAAATTTATTGTTCGGTTCTAGAGGCTGGGGAGTCCAAGACCGAGGTGTTGGCAGATTTGGTGTCTGGTAACGGTTTACTCTCTGCTTCATAGATGGAATCTTGTTGCTGCATATTCACATAGAAGGGGCAAGTCGACCCCCTCAAACTTCTTTTATAAGGACACTAATCCCATATATGACAGCCCTGACCTCATGATCAAATTACTTCCTAAAGGCCCCACCTCTTAATACTGTTATATGAAGATTAAGTTCCAGAATATGAATCTTGTGAGGCATACCAAAATTAAGACTGTAGCAGGTATAAATAATTAAAAATTGAAAGTAAAAATAACACTATAATAGCATTGTGTTATTAACTATGTAAAATAAATCTGACAGGTGTGCAAGACTTACTGAGAGCCCAGAGCTAAACTGGGGTTGTAGTACCATAGCAACCCTAATCTTACAGGAAATGAAGGGGAACTAGATATGGGTGTTTCCAGAGTGCCTTTCATGGGATACTTCTTTTACCTGGTGGTCATCCTAGTTGTCTGACCCACAGCCAGGGGGTCCCTCACAGGGGGATCTTGTTTATACTGGCAGACACCCCTGTGGCTCTTGTCTGACCCACATCCACTCTATGCCTTTCTGACCACTGCTCTGGCACTGGGAGTCCAACCTGTGTTTCTCCAGGGCAAAACTTGGTCTGGGGTAGCCCCATGTTCTCCAGATGGAAGGCACAAATTCAATACACAACCACAATAGGAAGTTCAAAGATTTTTATTTACAGATCCTGGGTAAGGAGGGCACAAGGGTCAGAAAGGCAGTCCTATATCCCCAAGACGTAGGTAGAAATGAAGAGTCAGGCAAAGGAGTGGGGACAGGAAAGGAAGAGAGGCAACTGGCAGTATATAAAAGGGAATTGGATGGGTCACTTTACACTCGAGGATAAATGCTGGTAAAGCAGGGAGCTCAGTCTGTAGACGGAAGAGATGAGAAACTTTAATTAGTGCTGTAAAAGTTACAAAGAACATAGAAGTGGGTGGGTGCTACTTAGATAGGGTGGTCATAGAATGTCTATGTGAATATTTTAGGCCAAAACGTAAAGAAGCAGGAAGAATCGGCCAGACAAGGGAAAGATAATAATTAAAGGACAGCATTTGGGAAAGCCCTGGGTAGGTAGTAGAGGGTAGTAGAAAAGAAAGTCTGGTGTATTCCAAAACCCCAACGAATGCCAATTTGGCTGGATTATAGGGAGTGCAGAGTAAAGGGAAAGACAGCCTAATGATCACATAAGAGAGGTAGACAGGGGTGAGATCATGTAGGATCATGCAGAAACAGATTTTATTCAAAGTGTGCTGGGAAGACATTTTACCAGCTTTGACCAGGCTACAGACACAATTAGTCTTCATTTTTACTCTAGTCGCTCTGATGCAGAATCAGCTGGAGATTATTGTCTCAATTGTCATAGGTGGTCCCCTTCCATGAACACATAAAGATGCTAAATACTGTATAACATGTTCTTATTTATGTAAACAAAAAATATATATCACAGAGCCTAAAAGAAAGCAAAGAAGATGTAGAAAGGGGGAGTCTCTACCTAGATACAGGTCCTGGGGATTGGGATTCCTACACATAATTTGAAGACAAGATTGCTGAAATAAAGCTGAGAGTCTAGAAAAGATAGACCATGTGATCAGAGAGGATTAGAAAAACTCCAGGCACAGTGGGTCATGTCTGTGATCCCAGCAAGTGGGAGGCCCAGCTGGGCAGACTGCTTGAGCTCAGGAGTTCGAGACCAGCCTGAGCAACATGGCAAAACCTCATCTCTACAAAAAAATAAAAATATAAAAGTTATCCAGTTGATAGGTTCTGACAAGTTGATGAGTGTAGCACACCAACATGGCACAAGTATACATATGTAACAAACCTGCACGTTATGCACATGTACCCTAGAACTTAAAGTATAATAATAATAATAATAATAATTTAAAAAAAGTTATCCATGCGTGGTAGTGGGCACCTATAGCCCCAGCTACTCCGGAGACAAAGAAATGGGAGGATCGCTTGAGTCCTGGAGACAGAGGTTGCAGTGAGCCAAGATCACACCACTGCACTCCAGCCTAGGTAACAGGGTGAGATCCTGTCTTTAAAACAAAACAAACAAACAAAAAAAAAACCACAAAACCTTAAGACTGTTGCTTTGGAAAAGCAGTAAGGAAGCTTGCTATCTGTGAGTAATATTACTATTATTATTTTTTGTTTACATAAAAACATATAACATGTTTTTATTTACATAATCAAAAAATACATCATAGATCTTAAAAGAAAGCTACAGAGATGTAGAAAGGGGGATTCTAACTAAATATAGATCCTCGGGATTGGGTCTCCTTCACTTATTTGAAGACAAGATTGTTGAAAATAAAGTTGTGTATAATTTGTATATAAATAAAGACAATTACAAAACACTGAGACCTGAGTCCTGTATCACATATGGGGGTGGAACCCAAGAACCAAATTTACAGTAGAAGCTGAAAAAATTACCTTAAATCTGGTTTAAAACAACTGAAACTTTAGGATCAATAAAACCAATCTGTAGATACACTTCCTCAACCCAGGGAAGAGAAGACGTCTGCAGAACAAAGAATTTTGAAGATAAATTCCCACTTAAATATTACACATCATTTGAAGAAACTAGCCACCATGAGGGAGAGCCAACAGAAACAACAAACAGGAGATTTAGAACCTAGCAAACTGGAAATTATAACTTTGTACAGACGGATTTTATTATCTTTTACTACATGTCACTTTTGCTTTGGTTCTCATTGACGGCCAATGCAAAACCTTTTAAAATATCCTAATTTACATCTCTATTAAGATTACGGATAATTTTTGAAATTCCCCCAGAGTGAACTAAAGAACATTTATGTGTAAAATTCAACATGGGGCACACAAGGTGGTTTACTGTTATTAGATGAACTAGATGGTGGTTGCCTGCAAATGGGAAACTGAATTAACTACCAGATTGCCACTGATCCCCGTCTACTACTTTGGAGCTAGATAATCTATAACTTGAATATACTTAGTCTTATGTTCAGAAACTGGAGGCAACTGTCTCCTCCAGTCCTCTTGGATGGCATTTTAATTGTTTAATGTTATGAAAACTGAGTACACATTTAAAATGACACATCTGCAGCATCCCCAAATTTCAGAAACCACTTTAAGTTGAAAAGCTCAGATTTACATGGGAAATTCCAAACATCCTTCCCTTTCTTATCACTTACTAAATCTGAAGTACTCCTTTCAACTTTTCTTGACGTATTTTGTACTTTACTCCTTTCTTTCATTTTGCTTAAAAATATCAACACACTAAAGCCAAAGTATTTTAAAATGTAAGCCAAGATGAAGTGTTTTGTTGTTCTCACTGCAGAAACAGTGAAAGAGAAGCATGAAAAATAGTATAACTAGGTATCTCTTAAATCATCCTTATCTATGTGTATTTTGACAACGCTTGCATCTTCTAATCTTTGCAACCCTACTTCAAATGAGGAAATGGAATCTCAGGTTAGTGTTCAAGGCAGAACCCGAACTAGGGTATTAGGACTCCAGGCAAGATCCTAAGAAATGCCTTCTCATCCCCCAGTGCCGACATTTTATAATGTCTTCTCTGAAAAATAGATTTAAAGGGGAGACATTTAAGAAATCCTGGCTGGGCGCGGTGGCTCACGCCTGTAATCCCAACACTTTGGAAGGTCGAGGCGGGCGGATCGCCTAAGGTCAAGAGTTCGAGATCAGCCTGGCTAACATGGTGAAACCCCGTGTCTACTAAAAATACAAAAAATTAGCCGGGTGTGGTGGCAGGCGCCAGTAATCCCAGCTACTCGGGAGGCAGAGGTTGCAGTGAGTCGAGATCGTCCCATTGCATTCCAGCTTGTGCAACAAGAGCGAAACTCCGTCTCAAAAAAAAAAAAAAAAAAAAAAAGAGAAGGAAAAAAAGAAAAAGCAATCCTTTAGGAGGAAAGTTATATATTATAATTATTCACAAAGGAAACAACCCAAAGCAAAAGAAATCTGGGAGACGCTCCGACCTGCGAGAGACCTGGTTATGCCTGTTCCCTTTTCGTTAATTATACCCCACCCCTTTTAAATGTTTCTTCATCATCAAAATCCTAAATCTGATCATTTCCTGAGTCAATCTGAAGGATGCCTCCAGCGCTGTGCACACTCCCAGCAAAACACAACGATTTCAGGGCAAACTAAGAGCCACAGAGAGCACCGCTCCCGCCCTACAGGTACAGGACCCAAAAGGCACTCTGATCTCCCGTTTCCGCCACCGACTCGTAGCTCCTTCCCAAATACCTGTTTATCTCCATTCTCATCCCCATCGCCATTTCCCCCCTTAGCTCCTGAAGCGATTAACCAGCAACAGTGAGAAACGAGAGAGAGAGCGAGCGCAGAGGCAAGCCTGGGGGAAACGAATGTCTGCGTGGCAAGGTTTCCTTAGGCAGTTTGTCAGGCACTGCTGAAGGCAGCCTGGAAGAAAGCCGGACCCTGAGGCCGCCGAGAGAGGGCCTTGTGTTTGGAGCCCGACGCACTGATTGGCCGCGGCCGAGGAAAAACCCGGATGCGCTGGACAGCAGTGTTGGCAGTCGCGGCTCCGAGATTTGGGCACTTTTGGGGGTGCCGGTGGCCCGGGCCAATGGCGCAAGGTTGGGCAGGCTTCTCTGAAGAGGAACTGAGGAGACTAAAGCAGACTAAAGGTAACAAGATGGGTTTACAGTGTTTTAATTCTTGGTCCTTAAGGGGAAGGGGCGGGGATGCAGCTTTGGTGGGGGAAGGGGGCGTGGAAGTGGCTACGTTTGTGTTAGCGGAAGGCGCTGTAAGTACGTGGACTGGTTTGAGGGGGTTTGAGAGGTGGACTTACTGGAAGTCACGACGGGAGGGGGCAAGCCAGAGGACTGGGATCTTCTTTTAGGAAAGACGGTCCAGGAATCCACTGTAGGGATTTGACTCTTGTGAAAGGAATGGGACTTGGGAGAGGAAGTGAGCCTACAGTCTGTGTGTCTTCCTTAGGGAGGATTGCTGCAGGAATCGATAGTTGAAGGGTTAGGGTCAGGGTAAGGGAAGGAGGAGGGGCGCACATCATATTAGAATTGTGGTGAATTTACAGAAGCAGAAGATTGGAAAAAATGAGCACAGGCGTCTGAATAAAGGCAAAAATTTGGTACTTTTCACAATTCATCTGGAGTGTTGCATTCACTTCTGGTTGCCAGATGATTTTTGCAGTTCTTTCCAGTTTTTGAGAATCAGCAAACCAAAAGGGTCTTTGAGAGGGTAGATGTGAAGACTTTATATGTTTATATACATACAGTCTTACTTTGGAGTAAGCTAATATTGTTCTTCTCTCTCTGGCTTTTTTAGAGTAAGCATTGAATGGGCTTGTACTATATATATATATATATATATATTTTAATGAAGGAATTAAGTTTGCTGATTGTTGGTGGAAAACTTAGTAATACTGATTGCACTGCACTTGTGGTTGAAATTTCGCAGTGATCTGTGTGGTTATCCTGGTAGTACACACAATTTCTGTAAGAAGTGTATACCGCCCTTGGTACCTTAATTCAAATACTTTATTTTGGTAGAAAATGAAGTAAACCTTTTATTAGCGTTTGTGGGGAAGTTAGATGTTGCTCTGGTAGCTTGTGCATTTTTAGCATAAATGTGAGAATAATCTAGGGCGGACAAGTGGGAAAAGAAGTAAATTAGTAAGATAGGACCAATGTAGGTTATATCGATTGGGGACATTTTGACTGGTCCAGGGGACTTTAAAAACTCTATCAAAAAGGTTATGCTACGTTGTGTGGTTAACTGACTCTGTGTTGCTTTATATGCTCGAATTCTTTTGCTCTGTGTTTTCAACATCTATTCACATACTCTGATGTACAGGGTACAAGTGCCCTGGCCTCTGGTCTGACTCCAGTAGATTAATGAGGAGACAAATCACAAAGTTATGTGATAGTAGATATTGCAAAAGCTTGCTTCAGAGACAAGAGGAACCTCACTCTGCCGGAGATTGGATGGAGCTTGGGAAGATTTCAAAAAGATTGTGTGTTAGCAGAGGCGCATTTTCCAGGGTAAAGACGACTTAATCTAAAAATCAAAATTACACATTATATTAATTATGTAGAAGTATATTTTGAAATATCTTTGCAACTGGGGGTAGATAGAGGATGGTAAGTACCTGAACTTCAAGGCCCACTGTAGAGTATGGAAACCAAATTACTAGTCCGTGACCACCTCTAGGACGGAAAATATCTTAACATCCTTGTATACCCCTAGCTAAACACAGTGATTGGCATATAGAACTTTCAGCTCTTCCTCTAAATCTTTTCCTCTTGGATTCCTTATTTGTAAAATTAGAGAATTTGGCCCTTTAATTTTAAAGCCATTTCTAGCTGTTCTCTATCCTTAAACATTTATTGAATAATCTAAGAAGATGGAGTTGGTTGCCAGCAAAAATAAGGACAGTAGTACTCTGGAGACCCCTGTATGTGCATTGAGGAACATGGTCAAGAACGTTGTTAATAGTCTTGTTTGTAATATTAAGAAGTTGGAAACAACCAAAGTGTTCATTAACAAGGGAATGGGTAAATAAATTGTGGTATACTCATCTAGTGGGCTACTACTGTACAGCTGGTGGGAATATATTAGTATTAACTGTAACTACATGCATTAACATGTTTGTTAATACAGTATATGTGATTACACTTGGCCCTTGAACAACACAGGTTTGAACTGTGACGGTTCACTTATACACAAATGTGCATTTTAAAAATACAGTGTTTGGGGGATGCGAAACCTGAGTATATGGAGGGCCAACTTTTGGTATATGTGGTTTTCACAGCGCCAACTGTGGTACTTGAGTATGCACAAATTTTGGTATACATGGGGATCCTGGAACCAGTTATCCTCATATATCAAGGATCAGCTGGCTGTATGTATAATATATACAGTCACACACTCAATAACAGTATTTCAGTTATCAGTGGACCACATATACAGTGGTGGCCTGGTAATATTATAATAATACCCTGTTTTTACGGCACTTTTTCTGTGTTTCCTTCAGTATAGTGACATACTGTACAGGTTTGGAGCTTAGGAGCAAAAGGCTGTACCATATAGCCTAAGTATATAGTAGGCTGTACCATCTAGGTTTGTGTAAATACACTCTCTGATGTTTGCAGAAGGACAAAATTGCCTAACACATTTCTCAGAATGTAGCCCATTGTTAAGTGATGTATGATTGTATATAGTGGGGAGGCATGGGAATGTGATCAGGAAGAGGAAAATTCAGAGGTATTGGTAATTTATGAAATCAGGTTAAGGCAAGTTAAGGTAAAGTAACAAATAGCCCTAATATGTCAATTGTTTAAAATAAAGATTTGGTTTTCACTCTAGTTTCATGTTTAATGTGGGTTTGGCAGGTGACTGTGTTTCACAGTCACTCCATCTTTTGGTGCTGTCTTGTAGGAGTTTACCATGGTAGGAAGAAAAAAAGATTGAAAATTGAACATTGGCAATTAAATCTTTTCACCAGTAAATGACATGTGACACTCCTACTTATATTTTATTTACCAAAAGCAAGTCATACAACTTGGGGGACAGGACATAAATTCTCTCTTACCTTCTAGAAGGAGGGTTATGTCTATCGTTAAACAGTAGTTACTTCTACTGCAGTCATATTTAATTTCTTAAACTTTTTTTAATCATATAGGTTGGAAGACTGTGTTTATGAGTGTAACACATGCATATATTTGATGTATGATCTATTTCATAATGAAAAATTGGAAGAAAACAGTACAGCCACATGCTGTCAATTTTTAGTTAAATAAATTGTTTATTCAGAAGAGTTATTCTTCATACTGATTCTTTGCCAGTTACATTATGAATATCTTCTCCCAGTTTTTAAGTTGTCTTTTCACTTTTATCTTTATGATGAACAAAATATTTTATTTTTTGAGACTGGCTCTCTGTTGCCCAGGCTGGAGTGCAGTAGCGCGATCATAACTCACTATAACCTTGAACTCCTGGGATCAAGCGATCCTCCTGCCTCAGCCTCCCAAGTAGCTGGGATTACAGCTATGTGCCATCACACCACACTAGTTTTCTTTCTTTCTGTCTCTCTCTTTCTTTCTTCTTCCTTCCTTCCTTCTT